AATTCAAGATATGTATAAGCACCTGTTGGTCGAAATCTTTCGCCTTTACTAATCCATAGTGGTCCATAAACATTATCATCATGTACAGTTTTTATTGTACATTCATTTGATTCCAAAACTAAAATTTATTTAATTAGAAAAAAAGAAAATCAAAGAAAATTTTTTATTGAAATATTTACAAGTTTTAAGTGACTTTTTTTCATCACCACGATAATTAAATACTTTTCTTGCATGTCCTGTTAATTCTAATTTTTTTGTACATTCTTCAAGAAACTAAAAAAAAAAAAATAATAATCCATTAGACATTGTAATAATAATTCAATAATAAACCTTTTCAAAATTTTCTTTTAATACAGTATCAATTAACATATAACAAATAGCATCATTGTGACCAAAACCATTCTCAATAATTGTTAAACAAATACTTGTTTTAATTTGTTTACTATAATAAACAACAAAAATGATTAACTATGTTTTATAAATTTAGATGAAATGAAAGTAAAAAGTTTAGGAATTTATATGAACAAAAAATTAGTTCAACGTATACAAAAAAAGTGATGCACCCTTAGTACGAATATGATAAGATAGAGAGGCTTTAGATCGGTTTGTTCGCAATAGACTTAAGGAATTTGAAACTGTCAAGCATTAAAAACTTATCGAAATAAAAGTTTACATAAACCTCGCCCGAAAATATCCATTCAATTGGAATTTAGTAGAAACAACTTAGTCTGTCAATAGCTGCCTAACAGAACTTTTCAAACGGCATCAAAAGAGAAATAAAAGATTGAAGTTCAAGGTTGGTTTCAATTTTCATTATAAAAACATAAAACCACGGACATTCGGAACTTTCAAGAAGTGTTGTATCATGTAGGAGGACTTAGAAAGAAAGTTGCCGACCACAATAATATGAAAGTATATATTGATCGAGCATGTTCCGCAGATGACTTCTTTCTATTGCTAAAACTAAAATATCAATTACATAAAATTAGATTTAACGATAGCAATCGAATATCATTCATACTTCAAGCAGCTTTTAATGACCTGTCCAAAAAAAGTGATCGTAAACTCTATCTTTATAAATTATTTTAATCGAATGCACCAATGTATTCTTAATGGGGAATGATACTTGGGAAAACAACATTAAAACCAGTCTTTTGAATATTTATCGCAAGGGCTGACGAAAAAACTTTTGTCGCATAATGGATTATTAATGAAAACACAAAAAAAATATGATATTTGTCTTTGACTCTATGGAAATTTCAATAGATTTTATCACAATTTCATGATAAAAAAATAAACATACTCTAAACGTTTTGAAATAACAGTTTTTGTTGTAAATGATTTTGGTTTAACAGCATCTGTTTGTAAACCTTTCATAGTCCATGTTGAATTAAGACTATATTCCGTTTGTACTAAAAAAACAGTCATATTTCTTATCTGAATTATTTCATTGAAGTAAATATTTACCTTGAATAGATTTAAATGGATCTTTAAAATTTTCTCCACTTGAAACATAATATTCTTGATTTGCTTGTATATCTTCAACACGATATATTTCTTGTCCATTTGAATCAAATAGACGACGAGCAGCTGATGACATATGAAGTTTTTCAGTTGCATATTGTAAAATCTATTTCATATGTAACTTCAACATAAAAAAATTTATTATTTTAAAATATAACTTACTGCATTTAAAGAATTTGCTTTACAATAACAACTTTTATCATGATCACCATTACGATATATTGTTATAATAAATGTTTGACCTTTTGAAGATGTTTTATGAACTGATGTTCCTGTACGTTTTTTCTTTGCTGATGAAGGCATACTAAAAAATAGATAGATATTAAAGTTTTTCTTTAATATACATTCATAGTCAAAATATACGTTCGTGTTGGAGCACTTGTTGGACGATTAAATGAATTATTACTATTAGCAAAAAATGAACTTAAATCCAAATGATCAACATTTGTACGTTGATAAGCCGAATCAAGCAATTCTTCTCGTGTTCGACCTGTAGATGTTGAACGACGTCGACGACGACGTTGTCGTCGTTGTTGTGTTGATGATGATGATGGTCGTGGCAGCATTACTTGAAGAAAATTTGAATGTGGTAACTTTTGTAGGTAAGGTGATATGCCAGGTTTTGTTGCATTTGATGAAGAACGTGCTGGTATTGCTTGTTGATCATTTTGTAAACGATAAACTCCATCTCTAAGATAATAAAAAAAAAGAAAAGTTCAATTACAATAGAAAAAAGAAAAGAAGATAAGAATTCAATGTAAATACTTTGATTGTGATTGGTGACCTGTTGTTATTTCATTTAGATACTCTGTACAAATTGTCTCATCATTCATTGTACTATAATATTGATCTTGATCATCAACTGATAGTGATTGATGCAATGGATTCGTAGGAGGCCTAACAGAAACCGACGTTGTCATATTAACAAAATCTTTAAAATGTTTTTGGTTTCAGTTAAATGATGAATAGTCATAGTTAAAGTTTTAGTTATGACATTATCCTCTATATATATTCACCTAGCGACCTAAGTTACACAATCATTCATTGAATAATAGTGACCTCTGTGAAAAAAAATTTTTATAGATATAGAAAAGTACGTTTTCATTGTTGAAGTCTATCATATCGAAACATTTCTATTTTCTGTTAATTCGAGAAGATTATATCGTACTGATGTGACTCAAACTTAGACAGAAAATCTTTTTATTTACTTATGATTGAATAATATCAGTATTAAGAGAAAGTGCATAGTTAATAGTATTGTTATTTTAATAAAATCATTTTCTCGCTCATAGTCATTGAAGAACAATGTCTAATGATTGCTATCGATTTTAATGTTTTTTTGAAGCTGTTATTCTTACTAATGGACGTTGTCTTGAGTGAAAAACTAAATAGTCTACCATCGATCTAGAAGAAGATGTCTAATGAATTTTATGATGAACATTATATATATAGATTGTTAAGATGAGTGAATCTTTTTCTACGGGTTTTATTCCTGTAGTGATTTATTCATACATGAGAGCACAATAATGCAAAATAATTGATCTTTTTTAATTAAAAAAGCCTTTTCCCTAAAAGTATTTAAATTTAATCTAGCATGAAGATTATTTTTATCGTGTATTTTCGTACAAAATTCTAGCACTCTTGTCTAGTTTTAATCATTTTCGACGATAATATCATTCAAATTCAAATAAGTTCAAAGATTGCTTTGATACAATCGTGGTATACCAATAATTATTCTCCAACCAGTAATCAATTAGTCAGCAATGTGTACTGCACCTAAAAAATGAAACAAAAGCGGTGCGACCGTGTCTAACGTTCACTAAAAAGAAATATTTTCATTAATTTTTTTTCATCTTTATTACTCTGTAATATTTCTTAAAAAATAGCGCTTCATTCCAGAATACTTACCTAAGAACAATAACATAATATTGGAAGTACTTAGAAAGAATAACCCATTAGACTAGATGTAACCAAACATATATCTATACTTAAAAGATGTTCGTTACTATCTTAACTTATTTGTTAGTTGAATTTTCACAAATTCAAGTTTAAGGTTAATTTGTATTATTATCATCAGAATAAAAGACACTAAACTTTCAGTAAGGTCAATTTGTTAATAGGATAATTCTAAACTAACAAAGATTATTCTTTGATTTATGAACTTAATAAATGATTTCAGCATTTGATACACATTTCATTGTTAGAGATTCTTAGCAATAGAGTTTAACTGCTTGTATAGTTAGGGCGCAGCTGTACGGCTCAGAGTTGGAACCAGTTCGGCTATTCGGTTCCGGTCCGGACAAGATCGGACAAAAAGTTACAGCTGGCCGGACAGGGCTGAATTTTTGCCAGTTCATCATTAAAAAATTGTTGCTTGTATCCAAGAATTTCCTCTACTGAAAAAGGTGTTTTTATGATATTTTCACGTCAGAAGAATGTGTTTGCGGAAGACTCCATGAACAGTGTGTCATCCACCTAACGGTAAACAGTTTATTGTTCTCTTCATATCTTTATCGATTCCTTTCTCGTGTACTGCTTAATTTAACCTAGATCATATAATTTGTTTTTGTTATTCTACTTAGACAGCTGCCTGAATCACAAAAAATAAATATTTACACTGTAGTGCTAGATTTATTGTAAAGTGCCTCTTTTTTCTTGAAATTAAGATGAAAAAAAGAGATTTGATCTGAGTAGCTAACTTGTATAGGTATCACGCTCGAAAACTCCACGTACCTTGCTATAAAATATGATAGTGACAGTTTCATTCCCAAGTTTAGTTTCTAGTTCCAATTAAGGGTGGCGATGGCCTGTTAACTTATTTTAAATTTAAATTTTTGCGAAGTTAAATTTCAGATAAATAAAAATTTTTTAGAGATGAAAATTTAAATTTACTCAAATCCAGTTTAAATCAATCTAAATTCAATGTACATCCATTTGATTGGATTTAAATCCAACGACATGAATTGAAATTGAATTTTATTTGGTTTAAATTGAAGTTATATTGGTTTAAACTAGATTTAAATAAATTTGAAAAATATAAATGTATATAAATTCAATTTATTTAAATTTTGGTAAATGTAAGTTGATTATTCCTAATTCGGATTTCTGCACATGAATATTCAATTATTCTTCACCACCATTATATGTGAATACATACTTTTATGGTCGGTTATTTTCGCCGAATTTTTGCCAGTTTGGCTGTGAAATTCATCCGGCCGGTTGCTGGCCGAACCGGATCGGATAGAAAAAAGCTGTCCGATTTCAACTTTGGTACGGCTGATAAAGACAATGAGAGACAAGGCAATGCAGCTACCCGATCATCGCATTCCTAAGTTTCTTCAACAGTGCAAACATTTTTCTTTCTTTATTTAGTATTTCTATATTATAAAAAGGAAAAACAACATAAAAAGACGCGCTCTATCATATTGAAATAAATAAAAGAGATTTGAAGTAAATATTCACAACTAACTAATATATTAAACATTGCCAGTTTTGATCGTTTTGATTAATAATTGTGCATTATTTGCTTTAATTGCTTCACGACATTGGTTAATAGCAATTGTTTTATATTTTCCAACTAAATAATAATATAGAGGAAAAATTATGTATTTATTTAAATTAGAATATATTTACTTCGTAAATTGCCAGCTTTTTGTACTATTTGATTAAGAAATCGTAAATTTTTCATTAATTCTTCATGATTTGTACATCGAATTTTATATCCATGAATTAAATCACGATTTAAATTAATTAAATCAATATAATTTTGTTTCATCACAGATCTAAATAATATAATTATTATGATTTTTCTACATCAAAAATATGATTTTCTATTCATAATTACATATCACCAAGTAAACGTGCATCTTCAGCACGTATTAAAAAGCTTCGAATAATATTTGCATGTTCAGCCATATCCGATGAAATTCTTTGACGAGCTACTTGATATTCTTCAATCTAAATAAATAAAATAATTGTCTTTTGATTTTTTAATAAACGAAAAACAAAATGAAACATTTTTACTTGAGTAAACACTTTTTGAAGCATTTCAAGTTCTTGTGGAAAATCTCCAGTTGTTTGTAAATCTTCAATATTTAAAAATTTACCCATGGATTGAACAATATTACCAGCTAATTCCATATCATCGGTTTGAATTGTTACCTTTTATGATAGTTCAGATAAATAAAAGATTTAAAAAAAAATTAACTTACTTGTCCATTCTGTTGCATTTTAATAATTAATTTCGAATCATTTCTAACAGCTAGAAAAGTAACATATAGACTTGCTGCATTCGGTGCATATTCTTGTGCAAGAAGAAAATCATGATTAATCCAAGCAAGAACCTTTTATTTTTTTAATGAAACACAATAACGTATAGAAAACAAAATACAAAAAAAATTAACTTACTCGTGGAATACGTTCATTGATATAAAATGTAACAAAACCTTTTGGTTCTCGATCAGATGAGTTTTCAATCAGCAGATACATTGAAAAAATAGGCAATGGTCGAGCCAATTCGAACACATGAAAAAGTGTACTATGACGCCCAGAATGCGATTTCATATAAATAAATAGAAATTTATGTTTTACCTCGATTTAAGTCCAACAAAGATTTGAATATGTAAATCGATTGGAGCATCTCGAGGTGGAATTATAGGTACAGCAATACTTTCATGAACTTGACTAGCAGCTGGATGGCTAAACTTAGAGAAAATCAGTTATGTCAGGTGATATCGATTTTATCAAAATTTTGTCAATAGGACTTTCATCAATAAAAAACGAAGATCTATTAAACGTGAGATATACTTACTGTAGAGAAGATAGAATTTCATGGAAATCAAATATGACTCAGTATTCGGAGCCCTCGCATGAAGATCATATATTCGAGCTACTCTCATTGTAGATTCGTCTCGTCAGTTTCAATAAAAACCAACGGTTCGACTTTTATCGAACTTTTAATAATTTCCCTAGTCAATGAATATTTTTTCTATCTTGAAGAGATCGATTCCTTCACAATAATAGTCAATGTATACAAGCCACAGTATATTTTGTTAACAACATCCAGGATTTTTCTATAAATGTCATTTTTGAATATTATCATCAAACGAAAGAAACTAGGCTAGAGACAGGTACCTAGCTGAAGTTAAAGACTGGCTTTTCAGAACTATGCCTCTCTTTTGATATAATTAAAATATATAATATACTATCAAACATAAATCCGATGCTTTCAATAAGTCTCACTAACCCTCGAACGGTTAGCAATGGTTTGTCCAACATAGAGAATGCCTTGACTTCCACTTAAATTGCTTTTGTATATCCAAATGGTGAATACTGCTCACCAGAAATTATCCATGACATCGGCGCTACCGCGATGAAGTCAACGGCAACTTCGTTTTTTTAGAGAGATTGAAAAATCACATGAATTTGCATTCGATTTGAGTGCCTACAAGTCTAACAATCAAAACTGTGATCAATATGATGGACTCAATCTAACAGTACTAATTTAGCCCAATGATGAAAGAGATTTTCAAAGAGTTTCTCGAGAACCATTCTGATAGCAGCAGATCTTCGGTTTGCTAGCGACAATTGATGAAAGTCTTATTAGTGAAGAGTGGGATTCTTATCACATCAATAACTTACACAACAAGACATTCGCCTTTGAATAAACCTTCAGCAAAGATAGTTACTACTCGAATAATTGTATCTGAATGAAAAGAATTATTATGAGATAACATAAAGTATAGATTATTATTCTTACGATTTGAAGTTTTCATTCTGACTGCAATATGTGCCTAAGCAAAAAAAAAGAATCTTCAATAGTTTTTAATTATATTAATTTACTTACTGGATAATTATTTTGTTTTTTTTCTACAGTTAATATTGTTTGAATTTCTGTATTCGCCTACACAAAAAAAAACAAATACAAAAGATTATTTTGTTGCTTATTTTTGTTTTTGATATTGACGAACTGGAATTTCTGCTTCTGAATCAAATACAATTTGTTTATTTTGTCTGTTTTTTTCCTGAGATTGTCTTGTTGCTTCTTCAAGATGTTCAAGTTCAAGTAGAATAGCCTAAAATAATTTCAACTATATCATTTTATTATTCTTAACAATTTTCTTACTTGTTTTTTTTGAGCTAAATCTCGAATTGCTTCTTGTCGGTCTTTATATAGATTAGCAGCAACTGCATTTGAATCTTGCTCAGAAAATTTAAAAGCACGAACTTCACCTTCATTTGAACAACAAATAAGTAAATTTTCACCTGGTACTCGATAATCAGCCTAATAAAAATATTTATCTATTAAGAATTGATTTAATTCATATCTTACTTTAACAATTCCAGCTATTGATGAATTAAGACTTTCTTTAAATATAACCTCACCGTGACGATCACTTCGAATATCAACCTAATGCGAAAAAGAAAAAAAAATCTTAGTTTTGTATTAAAAAGAAAATAAATTTACTTTGCCATTACTCCAACCAGTGACTAATTCATCAACACCATCACCATCAACATCAAATGCTTGTAGAACAACTGCAATATTTCTTGATTTAATACGCCAACTACGGTTTGATCGTTCATATATTCCAACTGTTCCATTAGCTAATGCATATCCAAATCTTGTACCAACTAATGAACATATTGATACAATTGTTTCAGTTTCTTGCATTTCAGCAATTAATTGATCTTCACGAAATACTCGTATATCATAATCTTCTGAACCGACAACAAGCTATTGAAAACAAAATAACAAATTAATTTAAGAGCCGTTCCACATAAGTCGCAACCAACTTTCCATAGAAGCATTTGGCTAGTGTTTATATATATTATAGTGCCAGACAATAATAAGCTCAAATGGATGAACTGTTTATGAGTTAACCAATACTATCATGTCCACGAGATTTAGGAGGAACGGATCTACACGAGTGTCTGATCTACAGAAGTTGGTATTGTATGGTTTTAAACTACACATTGAGTATAATATAGTTCTTCAAAAATCGGTCTAGGAGATCAAAGAATAATCTGCGGAGCCTCCAAATGGCTGTTTCATGTGTAACATATTCAAATTGTTCATAAATTAAGAGAAAAGTTTTCGTATATGGAACAATTTCTTATCCTGTACAAATCAGCACTTATCCTGGCGAATTAATATAAGATCATGTGCTGATTCATAGACATTTTGGAACTCTTTTTTGATAAAACGACTTCGATTTCTGTAAACTAGGTTTTTGCTCTAGATCGATCGCTCCCAAAATTGTGATTTTGAGTAGAAGCACGATTTTATGTCAAGTCTCCTGACCGATAGAAGATATCAAAAAGACTGAAGTTTTTACTAGATGGTAGTATTGATCTAATCATCAGCGGTTCATCTGTTTGAACTTATTTCTTTATGGTGAGCATCTAAACCTTAGATAAACTTATATTAATAAATTTCCATCCAAGCAGATTTATTGATAATGAGATATAGCTATCACAAAAAAGTACTTTTTTTTGTCATAGTGACTTCAGAAAAATTTCAATATTTCGAGAACGAAATAATATTTGTTCAAATGGTTTGTTTAGAAGTTCAATCAAACACCTGTTCTCTATAAGATATATAAAACCTAGTTGAATGGACAACCATCAATTGAGCAACTTCTATGAGAATCAGTTGTGGCTTATATGGAATGACTCGTATGTTGAAAACAAAAGAAAGAAACAAAAAAAAAGTATACTTCATTATAACCATCACTGTTAAAATCAAGTAAAGCAAGTGATGAAACATTATCACCGGTTACTGTCCATAAAACATCTTCACATTTTTTATTAAAACCATGTATTGAACAATTACCACCGACAATAGCTAATTGTTCAGGTAATTCTCCCCAATGCCCAATAGTAATAGCATGTGCACCATCTGGATTCTTAAAAAAAAACAAATTAAATCATTAATATTGAAATTGAACATACAAAGAAAAACTAACTTCTTTAAAGAAAATATCAACATTTCGATCAATATCATAAGCAACAATATTTGTACTTGTTCCAACAACAAGTAAATCTTTTTTTAATTGTTCATCAAGTTGACCACATGCTAAACTCGTTATTACTTGATTAACATTAAGAAGAGAAATATTTCCTTCTAATTGTTGTGCTTGTGGATTAATATCACGTGGTGAATGAATAAAAACCTATGAATAAAATGTTTTTTTGTTTGTCATTTTTAAATCGAAAAAAAAAGCAAAAAATTCTATACTTTATTTCCTGCTGTAGCACCAACAAGACATGATTGTTTTCCATTAAATTTACCAACGGCAACAGTACGTGGAAAAACTTTATTATTTAATTGTAATGAAAAAACTGGTACTAACATTTAAAAGATTATTTATAGGATTATAAGACTTTTAGATTCTAAATTCAGATATTTTTAAGATTACCATGGCAGGTTATTTTACTATGCCTTTTCCTCTATCACAATTTCAAAATAAACGTTCATTTGAGAAGAGTGAGCGAATAGAAAAAAAAGAATGAATCAGACAGTTGATTGATTGACAATGAATCACATATATATTTACTCGTAGGTGACTTACAAGTCATAAACTAGACAAATAAAAGAAAATATTGTCGTCAACGTTGTCCTATATTAATTAGGTAAGTTTTTTTTGTAGCATTGTTTTAAATATTTTCTTTTGCAAATAATTCTTGTGTATTTTTACCTACGATCTGCGAAAAATTTGCACTAAATTGGCATGTTTATTGTCTAGACATACGAAAATATGAGACGTTTGTCTTTTTCTTTTAAAATTTTTTCTAATCTTTATTTGCTGGTTCTAAATGATTAATACATCACATTTTGAGTAATCTGTCATTATTTTTTCTTTGACAAGAAATGTGTTCGATTTTTTTCTTCGGTACTGTGTCATTTTTCAATTGAATACAGAAATAACAGTCATGACGCCGTCATAGTTATACAATCAAATCTTTATTATATGCATAACAGAACAATTTGATATGCCAAGTAAACGAACGAATGAATGAATGAACATGATCCGCTTATGGGTGTGTGTTTGTGTACTAAGCAAAAGACAGTATGGGCGGTGAACAGGGAGGAGTAAACGGGAACAATCGCCAATTCTTTTTTTTTCTCTTTCTTTCATTCTCTTGCGTTTTTTTTTGTTATGTTCACTAACTCGTACATACACACACACCTTGTCTTTACTTGGTCAAATAACAATAGAGATCGATGATGATCATCAACCATCGGGACATTTGTTCAAATACATAAAAGATCTACTCATCATTAATGTAAAGTAAAAACATCTTTGCAACACAAAAAAAAAACACCGAAAGAAATGTATCGTCACAAACATCAAATAAAAGTCAATTGTGAGTAATAAAAAAGAATGCCTTTTTTTAGTTGTTTGAGGTTCCACAAAGACTAAAAAAGTAATTTATTACGCATATGAGTATTCAATTTTTTTTGTAGTATTTTTTTTCTTCTGTTGTTTGTCTGTTTAAAGAAACCAAAGATTAATACCACATCTTTTCGTTTACTTCTATCAACAGAACACCTGTCAGTGATTCTGCTCTCAAACTCTCATCATTTTTCATGTACATCTTGTTTTCGTATTCTCCTTAATTGCTATTCTTTTTATTCTGTTCACAAGTTAAATTACACATGTATCAATTGTATGTAAATGATTATAGTTGTTTTTTCGAAGACTCAAATATAAATATTTGCTTTCTTATACTATTTCTATGACAAATATGACTCAGCACGTCAACAGAACTAGAAAATAGAAGGAGACTCGTTCGATACAATTAGGTATAGGTAATAAAAAATTGGACTATTTTTTTTTCTTGTTTCATACAGATTCAATGGCAGCTCCACCGAGTGTACCAATACCAGCTAAATCACGTGGTCATACATTATTTGATCGTCAAGCACAGTTGCATGCTTACGATTCTGAGAAACCATCAAGTCATCCATCAACCACTAATTTTGACATACCTATACCACAAGTCAAGCCAATCTATGCAGCATTATCAGCACCTGTTACAACATCACCTGTCATATGCCCTCCTCCACCTCCACCTCCACCTCATCATCATCCACATTCACCAGTTCTTTTTCATCGTCGCTCACCTATATCATCTTCAGAATGTGATTCACATCCAAATAATAATGATAATGTACAATTAATTGGTATTTATCCTCGACTTGAATCAACAATTTCTACAAAAGAAACTCTATTACCACCAATATCTTCATCAAAAACATCAGAACAATTACTTGAGACTGATTTTCCATTAATTGAAAATTCTACAACACAAGAATCAGAACTTTCCGATAATAATTTAGTGCCAAGTAATTCCGTATGTTGTGCTGTGATTGAACAAGCTTTTGATTATTTAAAAACTCATGATGACGATGATGATGATGATGATATTCATGAGAAAAATTCAAGACAAAATGAAGATGAACCATCATACGATGCCGATGATTATGATAATGAAGAAAATTCTGATGGAGCTGATAGTGTAGATACGATCGATCTCGATACAACAACAAGTACTAATCATCAAAATGACAGTAAGTTCTATTATGTATTTTTCTTTCGATTATTATCGTTATTAATTCAATTAAATATTCTTATGAATTGATATGTAGTCCGATCTAATCAAATGACGTCGGTTTTTTTAAGTTGATTTTCTCTTCTCTTTTTTTTCTATCTCGATTATATGAAAAATATAGTTTGCTCGAGGCAATTTAATCATTAAACGAGAAATATTGGCTTTGTTATGTTTTCTTTTCTTTTCTTTTCTTATTTTTTTCTCTATCGTTCAAATACATATACAATATTAAACACCGCTTAGGTATGTGTGTGTATATAAGCATGCTTAATGATCCCGCGAGCGTGCAACTTCTTCATTCCTTCTCATTGTTCAACTGTTTGGCTTCTTTTTTGATTTCATCGTACCTATCACACGTTCAGATATTGTCCTCTTCTTTTCTTTCTTTTTTTTTTTAAACATGAAACAAAAATATCAATTTCCTTATTTACAAAAGAAAAAATATTCAAATTATCCTTTAAAATTAATCTAAATTTCCTATATTACATAAACAACAAAAAAAAGCAAATAATAGGTAGGTTATATTTTAATAAATCCAGAGCAAAAGTCTTTTTTGTTTTTGTATATATAAACAGAACAGAAAAAATAGGGAATTAATTATTCTTTTTATGATTTTAATAGAAAATAAAACAAAATATCAACGTATAAGTTATAAACAAGGTCTTTGCTTAAAGTAGAATTAATTTATCTTTTGTTCTTCTTTGATTCGTCTTATGTTTATATGAATATAAATAAATATCTAACTTAATCATTTCTTGAATGACACTTTCTTTATAGTCAAGGTCATTTTTTTTTCTTTGTTTTTCTATTTTGTTTCTGAGAAAATGGATTCAGAGAAATTGAGGAAATGATAGCATCCTTGTCACTCGCTTTTTCTTTTTCATGTCATTTGTTTGGCTGTTCTAACTAGCTCAATAGCAAGTGATGAAACAATGAGTCCATAGAACAGCAGACATACGAGAAAGAAAAAAGAAAAAATTATCATGATGATAATCGAGAAAGATAGGCTTAACATAGATAAAGTTCAAAACAATTAGTCGGTAATAATAATGAACCGTTTTAACCTTGTCAATGAAAGTCTACATATTTAGCTTTTCCTTTTTTTTTTTTTTATTCTTAAACAATATTTCAAATTAAATAAGTATAGTTCTTATTGTTGTTTTTTTTTAAATATTCTTTTAGGTGGTATTCATACATTATCATCAGGAGGAAATATTGAAAAACAACATGATAGTCAAGAAAAATTAACTGATCATCAATCACCAATGGCATCATCATCACGTGGAACAGGTAGTGAAGATTATGATAGTGATTTTGATAATCAATCACATGAAGATGAGATTGATAATGATGATGAACAAATAACTAATCGGAAACAAGATGAAGATTTAATAGATGAACAAGAAGAACAACAAAAACAATTGATTGTATAAAATATTCATTTATCTTTATTTTAATTATTTTTCTTATAATTTAGTTACGACAACAAAAAATACTTTGGGGTATTGGACAAGAATGGTTACGAAAAGAAAAAACTTACATTGAACAATTAGAAAAGATGGATCAACAAGTAAATAAATCTTAACTTAATTATTTATTTTCTTGTTCTTCTTTTCTTAGTTATATCATATTAATATTGCAATTAATTTACAAATTTTAATCAGACAATTAGTTTCTCATCATAAAAATGTTTGTAAAGAAATTGAATTTTTATGTGAACGCGATCATCAATCGTTAAATTTGACTAAACAATTAACACGTGCTATTGAAACATTGGTATGTTCTTTTTTTTTTGTTATTTTTCATTTAAAATTTTCTTAGGTATCTTGAATACTAAGAAATGTTGATTAATGTTTATTTTGCAGATGCAAACACTTCCATTCTATGATGATTATATCAAAATAAATCTTGCAACAATAAGAAAAGCATTGGAAAAACGAACAAATAATAATGGAATGTCCAGTGAAGGTTAATTAATAAAAAAAAACACTAAAAAAATTTTTAGTCTTCTATTTTTATGATAAATAGATCTTTTGTCTATTCCTCCTAAACAATTTCTTCAAATACTTTCACAAGTACAAGTAAATATTCTATTTTATTTTTTATTTTTTCGTGTCTGCAAAATATTATTCTAATTAGGATTTACATAAAACAGCTCAATCATTCGAATCGAGTGATCAGGAAAGTTTAATGAAATTGTATAATTATGCACAAAAATGTAAAATATTTGGCGTATGTATTGATTTAAATAATGAATCATTGAAAATTCGATTTATTTTCTTTCTCATCTAGAGTAGACAAGATGAAAGTATAAATAAGATTATTTTAAAAAATGAAGATGTTGCTACAATTGGTGCCCGTGGAAATCGTGACCGTTGTCGTCTTATTCTTTATCCAGATGCAATTGTTTGTTGTTATCTAAAGACAAAGTTACTTGCCAGGTAGATTTATATGATGATAATTAACTAAACTTGATCGGAGATGAACAAATCAAATCAAATCAAACCTGACTTGATTTGATTTGTAATTTCGTTGCTTGTGTCAAATACTTCGGTAAACTATCAAGAATGGATGAATGAAGTTGCCTATGAGTTTGATAGAAACGATTATGTCAGTTATATTTTCTACCTTTGGAAACTCTATCAGGTCAAAATTCTTTGAAAGATATTGATTTGCGAGTCTTACTCTAATGCATGAACAATGGTGATGAAGTAAAAACTTAAAATTGATCAAGACCAAACTCAGACAAGAAAAACTAATCATTATTCGCAAAAGTGAAAGATGATGTGCTTTTGACACTCACTTCTATTTATTTCACAAAACAAAATTTTAAGCATATTTAAAAAAATGAGTTTCTGCAAGAAAATAACTAGAGTGTTTAGAAAGAATAGAAATAAAATTATGAAAACATTTATTTATTTTTTGATGACACTACCTTTCTTTTTCTTTGATTAGCCCAAAATATGTACTGCTTTGGTTTATTCCAATGATTGATCTCCATTGGACAACACCACAAAGTCCTTCTAATGATAATACTAATACCGGTGGTAAGTTTTTATTTCGAATGAGAAAGATAATTTTTGTATTAAATAATTTAGATGAATTAAAATCAACTTTAAAATCATCTTATAAAGAATTAGAAAAAATACCAAAATCACATGTAAGTTAAATCAAAAAGACGGAAAGCCAAATATATATTTTTATTTTTATTTTTTAATTCTAGACTGTTGTTTCATCTCGTTTATCAAAAGCTATTCGCAAACAAGAAAATGAATATAATTTAGCTCAATCAAAACTTCAATTAATGCTTTCCAATTCTCCTTCATCATCATCATCATCATCTCGTTCATCAATATCATTTGTCATACTTTTTTCATCTGCTTATCAACTTCAAGATTGGATTGATTCAATTGATAAAACAAAACAAGAACTTGTTGAACGTAGTTCAACTTTGTTAGATCCTGTAAATACTCATCATCAACGTTTAACTGAATCTTTAATACTTAAACGTCTTGATCTTGTTAAACCTAATTTACAAGAATGTAATTCATATGATTCATCATCAATACCAAAACCAAGTAAAACATATTCCGGTACATTACATATAATAATACATAGTATCCATGGTTCAGCATTATATAATCCTATACAACAACAACAAAAATTATCAACATTACCATCTACAACACAAAATAATTATCGATTTTATGTTGCTGTTGAAATTGATTCATATAATACATTTTATCCATATGCACAAACAGCTAAACAATCAATGCAACAGCAAGAAACAGTAGAATTTAAAGGCGAAGTATGATATATTAGATTTTGTAAAAGCAATCACAAAAGCCTATAAATATATCATATGATTAATTTTCTTCAATAACTACACGGTCTTATAATTTGACTCGATGTATGAGCAGAACGAGTTATCTTTAGTTACACGATCTAAAAAAAGAAACAATTAGTCCCGAATCTATTCCGGTTTTGCTGAGACCGGAATCATATTGCTCATATCTATTTAGAGCACATAAATTGTGATAATATGACATTCGATGCAAGTTTTACACGACCATAAAAAATGTCGCTCCCAAATAAAAAGTATTAGTCTCGATCGAGATAGGACCGGAAACATATTGTGCATATCTAACACCGACATATAATTGAGGTTCAAACATCAATTTATTTTCAAGAACTTATGCATCACTTGTTCGTATTTCGAAATGAATAAATAAATAAATGCCAAAAAAGTTGAGATCTATTAAAATCTTCATATAATAGAGCACACTCTCGCTATGCAATGTTGATCTAATTATTAGTTTCAAGAAGAAAGTCTCACAACTGGGTTAATCGCTTTTGAGCTGATACGATATTCATCTTTAGATTCTAATGAGTTATGAATACCTTGAAAAGAGTTCGAGTCAACAGCTTATTACTACAGAGATACTGCATTTATACGGTGTTTTTTTAATGAAGATCGTGGTCTCCGTCAAGAACATTAGAAAAATTGATTGTCAAATTTCGGTTGGAAACTTTGTGCAGAGGGAGACCTTCACCCGAACAGTTTATTGTGAAAGTTATAGATCTTGAGATTTTCTCTTATCCTAAAATAGAAACGTCGTATCTATCAATGTATAATAAGTGATGTTAAAGTCATGGTGTTGACTTAAAAAGTACCGTAAAAATGCAGTATCGACTTAACAATAAGCCAATGACCTAAACTCTTTTCATGGTATTCATAGCTTATTAGAATCTACATAATGCACATAGTCTCAGCTCAAAAGCGATTAATCGGGTGTTGAACTTCTCTTATCAGATTACGTTTCAAGTTTGAGAAGATATACTAATCCTTATGATGGCTCTAGGTTTAAGCCATTGTGTCCATCTTTTCATGTCAATGAGACCGTTCTCAAGAGCTACACTCTCTTGTGAATATAAAATATAACATCGTCAAAGATAAGATGTTTTTATAAGATTAACAGTATTTTATAGCACATTTTTTGACTTTAATGAAATGAATATACACTTTCTAAATGGAAAAACTGCATGTTACGTTGTTAATCTCTTACAAGATATATATTAAACACTAATATTTGAAAACAAATTACTTTAAAATAAGAATTCTGATCATTTAGATTCCGAAGTCATTATAAAAATTATACATAACTCATTCTAATACCTAAAGAGTCTCATTTGACTATGAACAATCTATATATAGACCTTGATATATAAATTGACTTGAAAGAGATTGCATGACATTTAAATATTACTTATGATAAAATCAAATTCTAAGATAAGAAATCTCCATCAGAAAAATCTTTTGATCTACTATCCAAGTTTTTCATTTTTTAGTCTTGTCAATTATTCAATCTAAAAGTTAAATAATTCTAAAAAAATAAAACTACATCTATAGATTTCATTCATCATTGACTACAATGAAATTCTATCATATCGAAATATCAAATTTATTTTTATTCTTTAAATTCGATATTAAAGTAAATAAATTAAAATAAAATTTTTTTGTTTTTATTTTAGGTATTTCAAGTTGAATTAGAATATTCACTTGCATTTCGTTTACTTATTTATCGTATTGATACTACAATAAAAACCAATACTAATACAAATAATACACAACGTGCACAATGTATTGGTAAATTTCATCGAAATGTATGTTTGATCAAAAAAACAAAAAAAAAACTTTTTGTTATACAAAAAAGAAAAATTTCAAATATTTTAGATTGAAACTGCATTACATGATTGTGAACGTGATCTAAATGGAATATTAACAATTGAATCACCATCGAGTGATTTAAAATTAAAAATTTCATTAAAATATTCCAAACGTGAAGGTACATTTAAAAGACAAGGATCAAAACGAAGTCTTGCTGTATTTGGAAAAAGTATTGAGAAATTATTAAGTACACCAAATGGATGGTATGAATAGATTTTTTTAAATAAAAATATTCAATAAATATTCTTTTTCATTTTAGTATTGATGGCATTCCTCGTATAATTTTAAAATGTATTGAAATGGTTGATAATGAAGGTTTAAAAGAAACAGGTATTTATCGTGTTTGTTGTGTTACATCAGATTTACAAAAACTTCGTCATCAATTTGATCGAAATTATCATCGTGGTGAAGAAATGTTATCTGAAAAAAATGTACATGTTGCAGCTAATTTATTGAAATTATTTTTTCGTGAATTACCTGAACCATTATTTACAAGTACACTTTATACAGAATTTTTAAATGCTATACAATTAACTGATATTGACAATCAACATATAACATTATTGAAAACATTTGAATCATTACATCCTGATAATCGAAAAATTTTATTTTATTTATTAGATCATTTAATACGTGTTAGTCAATATTCGGATTTAAATATGATGCATTTGGATAATTTAGCTGTAGTTTTTGGACCAACATTAATGAGACCATCAAAATTAATTGTAACAAATTATTTTTCTGGTAGTAATCAACGTTTAAATGCTATTGGAAATAATGTACAAGCAGATCTTGATCAAATGTCATCAGAATTACAAGGTTCAATGTATCAATGTCAAGTTGTACTTGCTTGTTTAAAATTAAGACGAGATGGAATATTGAAATGAATGAATTCGGTCTAGAAGTTTGTTTTTTTTTCTTTCTTTTACAGTGAACGAATGATAGACAAGAATATTGCCGTATTTTTCTTTCTTTTTTTCTATTTGGCTTCTTCTCATTCGTATCCAGCAGTGGCACTCAGTTTCTTTTCTTTTTTGTTAATGTCGTTGTTTTTTCAGTTTATCTTTTTCTGTTTGTTTATTTGTTTTGTTTTTTATTCAAATAAGATATTAATGTGTACATGAATATTTGAAATATTGCGTATATAATTGCACGGTAAGTCAAAATTATAGGACATCCACATAAATTCATGTAAAATCCTTTGTTTTCTTTTCAAGAAGTTCTGTTGTTGATGTGTTGATTATCTGTTTATAGAGATATAGCTCTCGAGTATCTCTTCCTGCTATCCATCTTCTTTATCTAATACTCTATCTTTAAAAAATTTGATTAGAGCGAAAAATATTACTGTTCAATAATAATGAGACATCCTCAGCAAAGGATCAAGATGAATAGATGCAAATATTGATCTAATGACTTTTAACTTTCAAGTATTTATATAAGAAAATGAAGTTCACTGCAGCAATCATAGTAATATTCCTTTACTCTCACCTTATACAGTAGTTTTCAGTTATGACATGTTAGATGATTTTGTTGCAATGGAGATATATAGAGGTCCTAGATCAATTATGAATACGTTGAATTTTAAACAGTTTGTGAAAGTATCAGCTTTAAGTCTTAATAGATAGGTTGCTCAGTCAATTAATATTGATAGCTCCAATTCTCTTCTATCACTTTGAAGGTTTCATTGAGAACTAGGTATGATTCACAACATCATGAACAATGATCATCTTAATTTCAAGATATGTGCAAAATACTACATCAAGAAGATTCCATCTATTGAACTAGGTAGATGACCTATATCTCGAATATCGGTTAAGATTTTGAGCTAATATTTTAGCAGATGTTTAGAATTTAACGTATTAATAATTAATATAGAACCTCTATGTATTTCTATTGCAACAAAGTTACCTAACGTGTCATAACTGAAAACTACTGTAGAAAGTAAAACTAATAAATTGCATGTTAAAATAACAAAGATTTATCTAAAGTATGACTAAAGGAATATCAGCATGTTTGCCGCAGTGATCCTTATTATCTTATATAAAATACTTGAAAGTTAAAATTCATTAGATCAAAATCTACTCTTATACATCTTGATCATTTTATGGGATGTCTCATTAATTGTTGGACAATAATTTTCTCATTCTTATCAGGTTTCTTACAAATATTATACTAGATCAAAAAGAGATGGATAGTGGGAAGATATACTAGAGAGCTGTATCTATATAAGCGTGTAATCAACACATCAACAACATAACTTCTGGAAAAGAAAACGAAGGCTTACATACAAATTTATGTAGATGTTCTATAGTTGTGGAATATGTCGACATATTGTCTTAGTGAAAATTGAGAATTTTACAATTAAAAACAATTAATGAAGTTTTTTCTTCATTGATTACAGCACTTGAAAAGCATGGATATTCATATATGCATTCAATCCTACTTTTTTTTTTTCGTCTAATATGTAAATCAAAGCAATACAAGGTATTTACTAGAATCATGTTGTTTTTTTATTTTGATGCCATTGTTTGAGCGCCATCTAATGGTGTTTTTACTAGGTCTTTATTCAATGAAGGCACACAAAAAAGAAAAATGATGATATCTTTTTTTTGTTCCTTCCAGAATATGTTTATCTGTTCTTTACGTTTTTTCTAATAGAAACTCGTCTGTTGTTGAAAGAACCGAACCGGCGAACGCAAAACTTTTTCTTCTCTTTTCTTTTCTTTTTTTCTTTCTAGCACTATCGCCATGAATAATACTGAAAAAAAAATCGGCATCTAACACTCACAATAAACAGACAGAACAACGCACCCACCCGTTAGTAGGGCAATAGAAAGCACCTCATGTGCTTGAGAAATGATTAGTTGTCGTTTGAGTCATAATCATTCAGCTTGAGCGTCAATAATAAATTGTTTTACGTATATATATGTATAAATATGTGAATCAATTTTTAGACCAAAAGAAAAGAAACTATGTCACGTCATATAAAGACGGGTTATCTTCGTTATTATTATAGTAAGTTTATTCAATTAGATTTTAATCGAACTCTTTTTTTTTTGTATTCATAGAGGGTTTATTATCAAAAAAATGGAAAGATTTTTATTTTGTACTCTTTGATGATTCAACATTGCAATGGTATGAAAAACAAAGTGATCGAAAACCAGAAGGATCAATACGTATTCGTGATATAGCACAAAATCTTTGTGTTGGACCATATACAAGATGTTTACCTAATCGACCACCATTTCCTCGACCAACTGATGAAGCTAATCTTATTGCTTTACCACGATCTTCACCTGGACATCATCATTCAGAAATTGTATGGATTCTTTGTAATGATGTTACTCATCTCAAGTAATAATATTAAAAAAGATTAATTTGTTGATTTTTTTTTAATCTGTCAATTTTCAGTGATTGGATGAAAGCAATCGTGTCTACAGTAAATGGATTCTGTTAAATATTGATAATCGTTTTGTTAATCTTGTTTTTTTATTTAGTTACCACCTCCACCTCAACAACCTCTACCACCACCTTCTCAGCAACATGGTGATGCTGTTCGACCATCTGCTCCACCATCTGGTCCACCACCACGTATGTATTTATTTTTACCTAGATGTTTTTCTTGATAAATATTGAAATAATCCTTCTTTTTTATAGCCTATCCATCTTCAAATCTCTATTCTTCACAACAACAACAACGTCCAATGTATCCAACATTGCAAGGTAATCAACCACAGCAATCGTACCGTTCACCATATGGAGGTACAGGTGCACCAAATAGTCAACAACCAAACTATCATACAACAGTAGTCGTTCAACCTTCGCCCACATATGGCGGTGGCGGAGGAGGAGGAGGTTATGGTGGTTATGGAGGAGGCGGTGGAAGTTCATTAGCTGGTGTAGGATTAGGCCTGGCTGGTGGAGCATTACTTGGTGGTAAGATCTCTAAAAAATACGTTCAAATAGAAGTACTAAACTTGTTTTATAATTAGGTGCTCTTGGGTATGCATGGGGAGGTGGTTTTGGTGGTCATGGAGGTTGGGGCTATGGAATGGGACCTTCTGGATATTATGGTGGATACGGGTAAGTTCAAAGATATTTTTATATGTTAATCGGATCTGAAACATAAGTGACTTTTGTTTCTTTTCATGGAAATAAATATTTTTTTCATTTCAGTGGATGGGATGGAGGTAATGATACAACCATTGTCAATAACTAGTATGTCTAACATTTATATTTTAATTGTAATGATTTATTTCATATTTTAATTTTAATAGTTATGATAATGATACAACAAATAACTATAATCAAGATACAACAAATAATGATTATTCAAATTATAACGACACACAAACAGATGGTTTTCAATATGATACAAATAATGATGGAGGAAATTATGACTATGGAGGTGGATCAAATGATTATGCTGGCGGTGGTGGTAAGAGCAAAAAATATTTATAATTCAAGTTTATAATTTATATGTTATAGATTTTGGTGGTGGTAACGATTTTGGTGGTGGTGACGATTTTGGTGGTGGTGGTGACTTCGGCGGTGGAGATTATGGTGGTGGCGATTTCGGCGGTGGAGACTTTGGTGGTACGTTGATTTTATATTTCACAATTAATATGTATATATATATTTCTATTTAGGAGGTGATTTTGGAGGGGGCGATTGGTAATATGTACAGACTACTAGTGATCAAATAAATAAATGCTGCTTTTTGTTATGTATCTATGTACGTAATGATGAGAAAAACTATGTTCTGTTTTTTTGTTTTATTCATTATAATTAAACAGGCTTTTTTTTCTTGTTCGTTTTATTCACTGTATACTATATATAAAGTATTATTCAAATCAATATTTCACGAAAAAAAATTATGAGACAAAAATTATAAAAAAATCACTTATAAAATTTGAAAATAATTAGGAGTTTATGTATTATTGGCATTGAATTGTTTACTTGTAATGTTTTATTGAAGTAAAGACTATAATTTGTTTTCTTTTTGATGAAGATTATGGTCTTGAACAAGAAAAATATTTGATAAAATATGAATTTGATGTTCTGATTTCAAATTGTATTTATGTAATGTTATATTATTTTGATTGTATCATTAAAAATTTATAGAATAACGTTTAACTAATTTTTCAAACTACAGATGAATTAAAAGGAAGAAGAATAAATTAGACTAAGTAACAAAATTTAAAACTCATGATATTGCGTTTTCTATTCATGTAAAATTATTAGCGTCATTTCTTTTAAAGAGCAAGGCAAACTTTATGTTTAATTATCGACGAAAACTTTTTTGTTTTTCTCTTAGTAAAAACTTACTCGATTGATAAGCAACTTGAGCTCTTGTATATTGAAATAGAAAAATGGAGAGACATATGTAAATAAGAAATTATTTTCTATCATGTAGAACAATGAACATCAGAAAGTATGACAATCAGAGAAAAACAATGTTAAATTGCCTCAGTTGTTCTCTAAGCAAACCGAAAATCATGCAAGTTCAAAGGAAAGGGGGAGGGAAGATGGATAACTGATGAAATTGACCTCGTACAGAAATACGACTTCTGTCATGTCAAATTTGCACTTCGACAATTGAAATAGTCAATAGCTGTTGTGCGTACACTATACCTGGCTGATAAGAATCTATAAAACTTTCATTCCATGTCAATATGTCTCAAATCAGATTCATTATTCAACACTAGACGATGATTGTTTGGTTCAGTGTACTTTTTCTCCTTTTCTTACACAACTATCATCATGCAATTGATACATTCATGTTGTTCTGTTCTACATATAATGATAACGGTTTAGATTGATGCATATGCTTTTAAAAATAAATATATTCATACAAAAAGATAACGAGTTGTGAGTTATTATGCTTGATCTGGAATCTATAAGTAGACAAAACAAACACAAAAATATTCTTGGTCTTTTATTATCAATTTATTTATTCTCGCTCGCAGAAATTTTTATCAATCTTACTCATAATTGGCCTCACTATGTTTTAATAATCAAACTTGAGCTTTCCAAAGACTAATTTAGATGTCTTATTTATAGCAAACGCATTATCGGAGAAACTTTTTTTTTTTGGAAAATTGCTGCCTGTATAAATGCTGACCAGCGATCATCTATTTGATTCAGTAAATCTTCAATTGTTAATGTTGTTCAATGAATATTAACCCAAAAGAATTCATTCACATAATCCATAAAAAAACAATTGTTAACAAGGCGAACTTTGTTATCTGTATGTTTCAATATCATACACTCTGCTGCATCATCAATATTATCATTAAAATATCTTGTTAAAACTGTTGACGAAAAAAATATTTTCTAATTTCAACGATGATGATTATTAATTCCGAATGAAATTACTTGATGCTAAAGATTACTCATCACATATACAACAATCACTCCTAATATTAGTAGTGATCAATTTGCATTCATTTTAAATATAAATTTGATTTAAATACATTTAAATTTATGTAAATTGGGTTTAAATTTAAATTTTCAAAAACTTAAATTGAAAATAAATTAACAAAAAGATGCTACTCCCAATAGGGATGCAGCGGTGACAATAACCGATGGTATGATTACTAGCTTCATCAGTTTTTCATCGATCTTTCACTGATCTCACTGGCTGTTCATCAGTCTAACAGGTTTAATTTTTTCCATAAAGAAAGAGTTTTTAGAGAAAATAATGATATTTTATCAATGCCAAAACAGTGAACCGGAGGCAGGAAATCCGATCTCCAATCAATTTTTTAAAACTCGTTACTCAGTCACTCATTCTGGGACAGCTATTATAGGTAAGATGACCGAAACATCAGGTATACAATATTGAAAAAGTGATTACATACTTGGAGTCTCCGTCCGCGATTTACTTTTGTCAACCTTTATAAAATATCGATACTTTGTCTAAAAACGCTTTCTCTATCGAAAAAATTAAACCAGTAATCGTATCACCAGTGCAACGTTGGCGATAATGCAAGTAAATAAATGTCACCGTTCATCCCTACACACAATACTTAAGTATGTTTTCACTATTAATTCTTTTACAATTACAACTATTTTCTCAACCAAAAAAAAGAACTTCTTTTTGTTTCAAAGAAATTTTCAATTACAATAAAAAAAGAAAATCAACCGTAGCATAATTCATAGATAAAAATCGTCATTCTATGTATTGGTTTTGTCTATTTCTAGCCAAGATATATTATAATATACATTGGTTCTTTTCTAGAAAATAATATTCAATACTATTTTATTTTACTCGAAATCAATTAATTAAATTCTGGATATGCTCCTGTTCGATCAATATTTGCTTATTTTTTTATAAATAATATACAAGATTAAATTCAAATTTATTTCATCTATTTAGATAACATGTATGAATGTCTACAAAAATAGAGTTTGTTCCATTATTCCATGAAATTTATGAGTATCAATGATATCTATTTCGATAATGAATGATATTCAACGTCGACAACCAAGAGCTCATAATGATATAATACTATTTTTTATGATTTATGCATATAGATAAGACAAACAATGGAAGAGATTCATCTGTAGATGGATGAATTGAAATAAAAAATTGATAGTTAAATAATCCTATCGAACTAGTTTTACTCTAAAACTTGAATAAATCATGATGTTTCAATGATCATCACCTTGAAATATTTATGTAATTCAAGCCAATGCAGCATCGAATGTTATTGGACCAAACATGAAATATTTATGGAGTGAATTGAGTGATGAAAATTTTTATGATTTCACAAGAATGACTTGTCATGTAAGTCATACATAACAACAATATGAATATATTTGAGATGCATCTCAATAATTAAAAATAAAAAAATAACAATGATATGTTTTGATTAAAGAAAAAATAAAAAATTTCATTTTGAGTAATTGAAAATCAAGAAAGTTTTTAATTTAAAATAATCGATAGTTAGAGAAGAAATCGGTGAACCAAGATTTTGTTTTTTTTTAATAAGTAAAAGACCGAATGATAAATCTATCAATTAGAAGTTTGACACTTCCATATCATCTAACTGAGCTAGTATCAATCACCCAAATTTTTTCCTTCGATTAGCTTGCATGACCTACAATTGAGCTCGCGCAAAAAGACCCAGTCATCAATTGTTTGACTTTAGAGAACTATTTGCAAAGGTTCGCTTTTAGATCATGCAGGTTTTATTATCGTTTAAAAAATTGTTTTTGCATGAAAAAATTCTTTTATTGGTATAAGCTTATTTCTCTGAAACAAAAACGATCATGACATGAATCTTGTTGAAATTTTCATGAATTTCGCTTTTGATTTATCATTGTAAATATAATTCTGATCATGAAATGTATTCTGAAACGAGTGTTCAAAATTATTGAATCATTTTTCAGGAAATTGATGTTGATTTTGTTTAGTCATATCTATGATATACAATTAACACATATTGGTGAAAATAGTTTCATGCTTATTATTACATCAGAAGTAAAATTAATTTATTATATTCGATATATTAATGCAAGAAAGATAAATATTATAGAAAAAACAATGCTGATTAAGATTTGTATGTTTTAATTAATTTTAAATTATGTATTAATTTTGAGATTATACTAAACTAACTCTTCGAATGGAAGATATGCATATTCACTCCAGTTAATCACTCAAAATGATCCAGTTTTTGTGACATGGGAATTTATAGTATTTCTAGGAAATACAGATTGAATCTGTTCTCAGGTCGTATAAAACACGTCGACTCCTCACAGTTTCCTCAGATTCTTGTTCTCTGTACAATAGAATTGTTAAAGAATAGTTTGAAGAATGTTTTTGGAGACATGAAAACTACCGTATCAACTGACATTGCTTGAAACATGATGAATCAATATAATATCAAAATATGTCTTGTATTTTCAATACATGTGCGTGAATACTAACTACCTTCACTATTATGGTTATTGGAAACGTATAAGCTTTAAAAAGAAATATATTTCTTTAGTTGATGGTGAGGTTTTTTGTAGAATTTTTGGGATAATTTCATTGTCTTTTTGATATAAATTAATATCGAACACATAAAAAAGCATCGAGAATTTTTCCTTTGATTTCTTTGCTCATTTGTTCATTAAATTATACTAGGTAGGTATTCTATTTATTGAATTCAAATCTCGATATATTCTGCATATAACATTTAGATACTTTTCGAACTTAACACGTTTCTCGACGATTTAATCGACATCTATTAATTTATCATTATTTTCAATGAATAGACATCAGTATTAATTGAACAATATTCTCTACTGATTTATGTTACTATTCATTCTGTAATATGACACATTTTCTTTCTCATAAAGTAAACAATGCTACAAGATTATTCATGTATTTAACCTTATGATGTGTTTCTTTATTAACAAAATAAATATTTTGACACTTATGGCACTATTATTGTACAATGTCAACAAATCTTTGAAAAAACTCGAATAACTTATTCAAGAAGATCAGATTGATGTGGCTAAAATGAAAATTGAAGTTGAACAAAAAGAAAAAGAAATTATGCTTGACTATGGTACTTGTCTTAACAATGAAACATTACCACTTCGTCGATAGCTCGCTAAATTTCCTCGTATTACAATGAAAAATATCGTTTAGTACACACCTAATCGTGATATCAATAATACTATATT